ATTTCAAGAAGCTGAGGCTTCAAGCGTGCGAACTAGAACCTTGCATGTGGAAGTTGCGATGTTCTCAGGCTGGGCGCCTCATCGGCATGGCCATGGCCCACGTGGACGACTTTATTCTCGACGGCGACAACGAGCACCCTGAATGGAACCAGATCGCGGCACATATCCGCAAGCTGTACAAGTGGGGCACCTAGGAGGACATGAATGACGGGATCACCAGTCTCGAGCAGTGTGGTGTAACCATCGAGGAGAACGAGAAGGGCTTCTTCCTACACCAGAGGGCCAACGCCAACAAGATCCAATAAATTCGGCCACCTGATGGAGGACGACATCGGCCTCCAGACAGTCTTCGCGCAAAGGACCAGACCGTCCTGCGGGCCTACTGCGGCGAGGTATACTGGCCAGGCGTCAACGCCGCGCCCTTCCTCCTCGCCTGGGTGGCCGAGCTCCAGTCGAAGATGCCGAACGGCATGCGCAGCCTGCTCACGACCGCGAACAACATCGTCAAGCTGATCAAGCAGAACCAGCACATGGGGCCCCATATTCACCGCCACAGCCTCGACGACCTGGCCGTCTTCAACTGGTGCGATGCTGCCTGGGCCCGCCGCCCTGACGGGCATTCGCAAGGCGGGTGCATCACGGCCATTGCCGCCGCCGAGGCCATGGAGGGTGAGAAGTCGCAGTTCGCCGTGCTCGACTAGGGCGCCAAGAAGTTGCGCAGGGTGGCTCGATCGAGCCTGACAAAAGAAGTGCAGGAAGCAGGAGATGCCAAAGGAGAACAGTGCATGGTGCGCATGGTGCTGGCCGAGATCCTGCTCAACAGGTCTCCCGTCCGGGAGCGCGTGGCGATGCCCCATCGCATCCCCGCCGTGCTCGTGACCGAGTGCAAGGCGTTCTACGACGGAAGGGTGCGATCCCAGTCGGCTGGATTGGGTCTCGGGGAGCGGCGGACCGCCATTGAGGCGCTTGCGCACAGGAGCGCGCTCGACGAGTGGCAGGCGACGGTCTGGCGGGTTCAGTCGCGCGCGCAGATCGCAGACGGGCTCACCAAGGGCAACTGGCAAGTGTTCGGAGTTCGCAAGCTGTTCCTGGATAAGCAGGAGTGGAGGCTGATCTACGACGAGAACTTCACGAGCGCGCGGAAGCGAGCCGCTTTGGGGAAGGGTATTTTCGACGCCACCAAGCCGGGGGGCGCCGCAGCCGCAAAGGAGATCTTCGAGAAGCGCCGGCTGGCGCGGAAGGAGCTCAGCCAGAATGACGTAGCTCAGGCAGAGTCCAACAGTACGAGACCGAGCAGCTCCCGGTCGGGTCAGGACGACCCCATGAACACGGCAGCTTCTTTTCCGCCTGTCTGAATGCAATCCAGAGTAGCAGCATCACATTCTGTTCATCTCATCTTGCTGCTCTGCTCATGTTCTGCCTTTGTTCTGTCACCGCCGCCCACTGGCTCAAAGGTGTGGGCGGGCGGGCTTGTTTTACCTACCGCAGCTGACTCCAGCTGCACAGATCGCGCGTCGGGGCCGCGATCGCTTTCGGAGAGCAAAAGGTGCTCATCTTCATCGCCGAATATTTGATTCTCAGGAAAATAAATTGCGACAGGTTTTGAGAGATCAGAGGAGCGAGGTTACGAGCTCGAGAACTTCGGAGACCTCTTGGGGCTCTTCGAGTTTCAGAAGGGGGAGGGAAAAGGGGGGGGGAGGGGGAAAGGGGAAAGGGGGAGGTCAAATTCTCTTGGGGGTCATCCGCTAAAGATGCAACGAAACAGGGAATTCTTGACGCTTCGCGTATCCCCACCAGCCCATCCAGAAACGATGTCCAGGCAAGTTGAAGAGATCAGGGAAGTGGGGGAGCAACGAGAGGGACAGCCGATCCGTGCAAAGGATGAGGCGGAAGAGGAGGCCAGATGGATAGATGAGGGGGTGGCGAGGAACCGAGCGAAGGAGGGATGAGGAGAATGATGACGCTGGGTGGATGGTTGAATGCCGCTCGGATGCCTCTTGGAAGCCTTTTGGAAGCCTCTTCGGGCGTCTTGGGGGTCTCTTGGCGGTCAATGGGGGCTCTTGGGCGTCTTGGGTGCTTCGGGGGGGCCTCTTGAGGCCGCTTGGGATCCTCTTGGGGGGCTCTTGGGGGGCTCTTGGGGGCCTGTTGGAGGCCTCTTGGGGCCTCTTGGGACCGCTTGGGGCCCTCTTGGGGGCCTCTTGGAGGCCTCTTGGGGCCATCTTGGCGCCTTTGGGGGCCTCCTGGGCGCCCTTTGGGGCCATCTTGGAAGCGATCGATCAAAAAAGGGGGGTTCCCTAATTAACCCTGCCCCTCGGGAGCTCCCAAAATAGCCGCCTGGACCCCTCTTGGGGCGCTCTTGGAGCGCTCTTGGGCGCTCTTGGGGCCGTCTTGGGGCCCTCTTGGGCCCCTGTAGGGCCTCCTTGGCCCCTCTTGGAGCCATGTTGAGGCCTCAGATGGCCATCGGAAGCGAAAAGACGAGAAGCCGAACATCATTGGTTTTCCTTAGGTTTTTGAAGGAGTTTGGCTTCTTGGGGGGCCTCCTTGGGGAGGTAATTGGCCTCTTGGAGCTGCCTTGGACCGTTCTGAGAGCGTCTTGGAGCATCATCGGAGCCATCTTGCGGCATCTTAGGCTATCTTGAGCCATCTTGGAAGTCATCTTGGACTATCCGAGGCGCTCATGGAGCCATCCTGGGCCATCTTGGACACTCTGACCGCTCGCGACCGGGCCCGTCCAGGTCCAGGGGAGGGGGTTAGGGGGAGGGGTAAACCCCTCCCCGAAGGGGAAGAAGGGAAGATGGAAGAGGAAACTCCCTAAACCACCTACGCCCAGAGGGTTGGTGGGATTAGCGTGGCCCCTGCGCAAGGATGACACGCACAGATTGACAAGTGCGTACTATGTTCGAGCGCGCGTTCGTGAAGAAGGAGGAGGGGGACGAGGAGGAGGATGAGGAGGATGGGGAAGGAGGAAAAAGAAAAGGAGGGGGGATGAGGAGGACGGGGGAGGAAGAGGAGGAAGAGGAGGATGAAGAGGAAGAGGAAAAGGAGGAGGAGGAGCAGGAGGAGGAGGAGGAAGAGGAGGAGGACCAGTGTGAGCCCAAATCGCATCCACGATGCTGCAAAGCACCGTCCCTTCAAGTTTCCTTGTTATAGGCCCCTGCAAGATTTTATTATCATTGTGGGAAGTGCCCCATTGGAAGACAACCGTCCGAGAATCATAAACCGTGTCGAAACACGATTCCTGGGATTCCGACGCCGCAAATCAACGTCATTGATGCGTCCGGGCAATCCTGGCGCCAGAACGCCATTCCTGTGGCACTTCAACACCGCGAATCAACGTACGTAACTGCTGCGTCCAGGCATTTTTTTCAGTCGTGGCAGAACTGCAAGTCTTTGGACTTTTTAGCCGTACGAATCTCTAGACCTGCAGCAAAGGCGCGGCGCTAAGGCAATAGTGCGCGGCGCTAGGGCGAGAGCCACATCTTTTGAACATGAGCCGCCCTCCATCCTTAAATCTGATGCAAACTTTTGGTGCGAACGCGCGCGGCGCCAATGCGAGAGCCACATTTTGCAAACGGCCGACCCTCCATCCTTGAAGCTGCTGCGAACTTAAACCACTGCGCAGCGTTACGGCGAGAGTCTCGTTGTAATACCACCCACCCTCCATCCTTGAAGGTGTTGCAAATATCAAGCTTCAGGCACACAGCATGTTGAAGAAGTCTCAGGCGAAACGCCCGGCCCGCCATACCGACATGTCTGGGGGCTCGACAGGGAGGAGTTGTTTTAAAAGAAGAAAGACAAGGAGGAGGACGAAAAGGAGGAGCAGGAGGATGATGAGGAGGAGGTGGAGGACGAGGAGGAGGACGATGAGGAGGAGCAGGAGGATAAGGAGGAGGAGGAGAGGCTGTAATAGTTGAACGAGGGCGACGGGGAGCATGAGGAGGAGGAGGAGGAGGAGGAGGAGGAGGAGGAGGAGGAGTAGGAGTAGGAGGAGGAGGAAGAGGAGGAAGAGGAGGAGGAGGTGGAGGATGATGATGATGAGGAGGAGGAGAAGCAGGAGGAGGAGGAAGAGGTTGAGGAGGAGGAGCACGGAGGAATGAGCAGAGGAGGAGGGTAAGATGAGAAGAAGGATGATGATGATGATGATGATGCTGATGATGATGATGGTGATGATGATGATGATGATGATGATGATGATGATGATGATGATGATGATGATGATGATGATGATGATAATGATGGTAGTGATGTTGATGCTGATGCTGCTGATAATGACCCCTGTTGCGTGTGCACTCGGCTGCACGTGGCAGGACCGGTTCGGCCTCTGCGTCGGCACGATGTATATTGACCGAGCGTTGTGGCAGGTGTCTTAGGGCAAGTCTTCAAGTAATCGGAGCCATGACTATTTGTCCTCACGCAGTGGGGTCCTGGTCCACGTGCCCCCCCTCCGACCTCTCGGCACTTTCCCTGGGACCAGTTTTCCACCCAGGCTGGCTTTCATTGCCACTGGGGCCTACACTGGGCTTCAGGCGGGCAAATATCAGATACAGCCGGTCGTCTGGAATTTTCGTGATGCAAGTGGTCAGGGCCTCCGTCTCCCTCGCGATCCTCCTCTCTCCTCGCCCTCCCCACGCTCTCCTTGGAGGTCTCCCGAGGCTCCCGGGGATCTCCAGGGGACGAGGCCGCCAGAGGCCTCCGCGGGCCCCCAGAGGTCTTGAAAGTGGTACTGACCCTGAGAAACCTCGAACCTGGCAGCTCGATGCTTGACCCGCTGGCCACGCGACGGACAGGCTGGCGACGGGGGGGGGGAGCCCTCTCAGTTGCTGCGGGGGCGGGGGTAGCGCTTCAGAGGTGCCGGGAGGCTTCTGCCACCTCCGCCTCCTCCTCCACCTCTGCCTCCTGCTTCTCCTCCTTCTCCTCATCCTCATTCTCATTCTCATCCCCCCTCCTCCTCCTCCTGATCCCCGGTCCTCGACTCCTCGATCCTCCCCACCCCCTCCCAGGCGGAGGCTTCGAGGCGGCGCCGCTGCTGAGCGCCCGGCTCCCCGCTGCGGAGAGCCGCCGGCACACGCGGGAGAATCGGTCCTCGCAGGCGCGGCCGGGCGGCCGGGCCAGAGAAAGGACGCAGGGCGCAGGACCCCCTCGGGTCGACTGGACGTAGGAGTGACCTTTCGCCGGAGTGACCTTTGGTGCGGGCCAAATGGGGTCCCCCGACCGCCGAACGCGATGCGGTGGTAGCGTCTTGCGCGCTTGTGTTTGGTCCCCCCGCGGACCCCACAAAGCCGCGCACTAAAGGTCACTCTTGCCCAGGGTCACTCTTGCGTGTAGCCGGTCAGGCCATGAAACAATCACGACGGAGGGTTTCTGACAGTTTTCAGCCTCTGGAGGTCCTCGCTGGGCCCTGGGGCCGCAAGCAAGCGACTCAGGAGGGAGAGCCAGTCTTGGGGAAAGGGTCGAGACGTTTGGGGTCTTTTCCGTGACAAAATCCTGCCGTCGGGGTTCGGAGACGCCGGATGCAAGACGCGCAAATCCGCCAGCAGGCGGGGCCCGTGGGGGGGGGGCGGCGCGGGCGCGGGCCAGAGCACCTTCAGACGTGCAGGTGGTCGAAGAACTCGTCTTCCCAAGCCAGGTGTCGGTGACAGCCCCGCTCGTAGCATGCAGGGGCAGCCCGCGCGGCCAGAGGGAGGGGTGGGCTTGCGAGGGGAAGGGCTGCAGACCATTTTTTCGCGCCCTTGCAGAACGACCGACGGAAGGCTGGCCGTGCTCTGCCTCCGGGGTCCCCGACCCGGCCCCAGGGTTGTCAACGAGAACAACCCAGGAGGGAGTGCGGAGAGGGGAGGAGGAGGAGGAGGAGGAGGAGGAGGAGGAGGAGGAGGAGGAGGAGGAGGAGGAGGAGCAGGAGGAGCAGGAGGAGCAGGAGGAGGATAGGAGAGGGGAGGAGGATGGGAGAGAGGAGGGGCACATGGGGGCGGCACTTGTATGCACCACCACCACTGCGTCTGGCCGAGGCCGTCCTGGACCCTGGCTTGGTGTGTGTGCGTCACCCTTCCCAGGATCAGGAGGGTCTATACCCCGCCCAAGGGCTCAGGACGGCCCTGGCCAGGCGTGGTGGTGCTGTATAGACGCCTTCTGGGGAGAAGACTATGATGATGGTGATGCTAATGCTGCTGCTGCTGCTGATGTTGTTTTTGATGATGATGATGATGAAAATGATGATGATGATGATGATGATGATGATGATGATGATGATGATGATGATGATGATGATGATGATGATGATGATGATGATGATGATGATGATGATGATGATGGTGGTGATGATGATGATGATGATGATGATGGTACCGATGATGCTGTGAATGCCGATGCTGTTTCTGATGCTGGTGATGATGATCATCGATGACGATGCTGGTTACTGGTGATGATTATTGCTGCTGATGATGACGGTGATGAAGGAGAAGAGTAGGACGAGGAGGAGGAAGAGACGGAGCATGCTGTTGATGATGATGACGACGATGGTGGTACTGATCATGCAGATGATGATGCTGATGATGACGATGATGATGATGGTGGTGGTGGCGGTGGTGATGATGCGGATTGAAACAGGAAGGTAGATTCTGTGTCATAGGTTTTGCAAGTGTTGCGTACCCAAGATGCCCGTTGTAACTCGACACTTTGGCTCAAGGGGAAAACATCTGCATGCCCGTGCTGCTGCCACACTTGGTAGCGGAGCCTGGTCCCGCTGGAGAGCCATGGGCGGTGGCGGCCGACTGTGAAAGTCGCGGCCAGTCACCACTCGCGAGCCTCTGGCAGGCCGGGCTCGCGCCGACGGGCGGCGCGACCAGCGGAGATGCCTGCAGACGGTCAACACGACACGGACCTCAACATGGCGGTGATCGGAGGCGACGGCGGAGAGGGCGCGTACAGCGCGCCGGCAACTGGCGCTGGGCAGCTGAGACAGATGGTGGCCAGGGTGATTCGCGAGACCATGACTGAGGCCGCTTCCAGCAGCAGCAGATACGCGAAGCCAAAGGCCACCGAGGACGAGGACCACGTGCAGGACCCTTGGCAGGCGGCGGCGAACGCGTCGAGGAACGCGGCGGCCCAGCCAGGGAACGAGTGGAGTGCGGATCAGTGGAAGGAATGGTGTGAATGACGTCAGAGATTCTGGGACGACAAAGGCGAAGCGGACCAGACCTGGGTCAAAGACGAGTCGGACTGGTCCTGGAAGGACTGGCGTCACACCGGTGGTGGTGGCTGGTCAGAGCACACCAAGGGGGACTACTCCGACCCACCAGCCTGGCCAGGCTGGACACATTATCGGCAGTGGCGGAAGGCGATTGCAACAAGAACACAGACGTGCCCATGTGTCGCAGATCAGAGAAGTTTCGTCGGCTCCTCGAGTACCCACGAGCTCTGCCGAGGAACAGACGCTGGCACCGCGTGTGCTTCGGACTCCACGTCGAGCGCGCCGAACCCCACAGGCATGGCCCGTGGGAGTCGCCTCCACCAGCGCCCCCCATGCAGCTCCAGTTCGACGACCTCCCCGAGTCGACGTTGTCGGTGGACGGCTGGTTCGAGGCGGTGCTGAAGCGCACGGACTTGGTGATCGGGGAGCGGGAGGGCGACGACTTGCGGAGAGCTGGGAGGCATGCGCTGTTCGAAGCCACTCGCGAGCAGAAGGGGAGCCTAATGCAGTACGTCGCCCGACGAGAACGACAACTCCTGGAAGCAGAAGCCCATGGCCTGGTGCTGCCGGCGAGAGTAAAGAATTCCTCCTGGAGGAGGGCGCCGGCCTGACAGTCCAGGGGCTTCATAATCTGAAGACGATGACCCTCGGGAAGGCCGAGCTCGAGAGCGTGAACTGGGCCCTGCATCAGATGGACGTATCGGGCTCAGAGCGTCTTTTGCCAAGCAAGAGACGGAGTGCTATGGCCGCTGCTGAGGACGAGGGCTTCGGCGGCGGAGTAAGCAGCTCCCCTCTTCCCTCGTACCCGGTCGGTCGTGACGGTGGTATCTCAAAGAGCGAGCCCTACCCAGACGACGACCAGGACGCAGACACCTACTACGACGACGACGGTGAGGGCGAGCACGAGGATGCCATCCTCGCCGAGCTGGAGGACCTGGACCTAGACGAGAAGCAAGTCGACGAGGCGTTGGCCATGTTGGCGATGCAGCACTCCAACACGAGGACATGAAAGCAAAACAAAGACACCAAGAGGGCGGCGAGGAGGGACCGCGAGTACTACGGAGCGAGGCCCAAGACTCCCGGTCAAGGGAGCCATCCTCCTCCGCCTGTCCAGCACGGTGCTGGCCGAGGAGGTGGGCGAGGTCGAGGCAGGGACGGTGGCCGCGGAGGACGTGGATTCAAGCTCAGCCCCCAGCAGTTGATGAAGACCACGAGGTGTAGTATATGCAAGGAAAAGGGGCACTGGCACCGAGAGTATCCCAACCAGGACGACACCAAGTTCGCGAAGAACCGCAGCGTCAATGCCTACGTGTTCACCGGCCGCGCGCTGCACGTCACGACGGACATGCTGGCGGACTGGAGGAAGGTGGCCCACGAGCTGAACAAGGGCGACACCTACCTGGTGGCACAGGCTACTCTGGCCCTCGTGGACCCAGGCGCCGGCAGCGATCTCGTCGGTCTAGCAGCCATCAACCGAGAGTCTCACGCTCTCGCGGCAGTGGGGCGTACGTACAAGGTCATTTCCCCACAGCTTCAGTGGCCACGAGCGGCCCATGATGTCGGAAGGCCCGCCAAGGGTGTGACGTCACTTTTATTTCCAATCTGCCTGGGACGAACCCTGGGCGTGATCGAGACGACAGTACTTCTCGAGGAGGTGCCGCACATTTTGTCAGTCAACCTCCTCGTGTTTATAGGATGCGTCATCGACCTGCCTCGCAACGTCATGACCTCGGAGCTTGTAGGAGTAAAGATCGGCATGTGCAGGCTCAACTCGGGTCACCGCATGGTGGACAATTCAGTGCCTCGACATGCCACTCGACATTCCCGAGCCGGCACTTAGCAAGTATTCTTTCTTGACGCCCGGTCCGTTTTGTGCTCGGCAAGGACTCGCCCCAGAGATGTTCGAGTCGGGGGGCCTGTGCCCCTATATCACCCTACTCGTCACTATCATCGCGGCTGGGGTCCGATCATGGCGGGGGTTTTCGGGATGCTCATCCAGGGCACTCAGGACAGGATCGAGAATCCACGGGCTCAGCCAGCGTCCGACATGTCGGCCGGGGCCTCAGGATCTGGAAGAGATGCGAGGGGCATGTACAGGAGCCTCGGTGAGGTCAAGAGGGGCTTCAGAGATTTCGAGCTGCTCAGGAGCTCGCGCCGATATCCCATAGATTTCGAGCTACTCACGAGGGCCCGTAGTCAATTTGGGCTGGAGCCTGTCGAACAGTTTTCACTGCCCTCTCCCAGACAGCAAGTCGGTCAATTGCTGTCCATCGACCCAAACAAGAGATGGTGCGCTAGTCGATCGCGCTGGCAATGCTGATAGGCCTGGAAGCGGCAGGCAATAAGGAGGACTCAGCCGGCAAGCAGGCATCTCGGCAGGCAACCGAGGAGTTTCTCGCACGACTCGAGGCAGCCCAGGCTGGCGCTGGGGCAGAGACGGACAGCTCGGTCAGTTCGAGCACGGGACGCACGGCGCACAGCAGGGAGCCCCCGCTCACGAGCTCGGTCCTGCCCAGCAGCAGCCGCCAATGCCGGCAGCTCAGCCGGTCCTGTGGAACGCCGCATCAGCGGCAGCAGCAGCCGGTGGCCCCCGGCGCCACCAGCACATCCGCCCCTGAACGGCAACTCTCAGGTGCCGCAGCTCGAAATCCCACGTGTCCTCGGCGTGTCCACAGAGCGCGCGCAGCAGGCGGCGGCAGCAGCAGCGCCCGCTCAGGGCCCACCGGCCTCGGAGGGCGGCATGTTCCAGTTCGGCCAGGCTCAGTTCGGGGTCGGTCGCCCGATCGCAGCAGCAGTGGCGGGGCCAGGGAACCTCGAGCCGCTCAGAGGACCGGCCGCCAGCAGGCCTCCGCCCCCTCCTCTGCCAGTGCCGCTCGCGGCTCAATCGCAGGAGGCGACGGCGG